CTCTCTCGCCGCAGGTTCTGCCTCCACCCGCAGATGGCCGAGGACCTGCTGGACGCGCACCCGCTCGCCGCGCACCGCCTGCTCGGCGTCTCGGTCGGTGAGTGGAGGCGCAGGCGCCGGGCAGGGGGGCGCGCTGCACGTGCCCGGAGGCACAGGACCCGTCGCTGGCGCTTTCGGGGATGACCCCGGGTGGCTGAGCGCTGCGGAGGAGAGCCTGCGGGGGCGGGGGCGGGGGCGGGGGCGGGCCAGGCCTGCGGGCCACTTTCTGGCCACGGGGACGGAGGGGCTTGGGTGGCACAGCCCAGGGTGGGCAGGGTGCTGTCCAGGGGGCTCCTCCCCCCCCCTTTGGAGGGGTGCTTGGGCCCGGCCCCCTGGCAGCCCCCACTCGGGACCCCAGGGGAGTCCCGCTCGGCCCCAGTCGGGGAGCGGCCGGTGTCAGGCTGTGGGCGCGTGACGCCGAGGCAGATGAGGCAGACAATCGCGCCCTTTCAGACAGACCCTGCTGCGGCAGCAGTTCCTGCCCGGCGGTGCCCGCCTCTCGCCTCCCACACCCGGCCGCTCCCGCAGGAGGCACGCGCACAGGCAGCCGGCACGGGGCCAAGGCCTGGAGGGGCTCCTCTGCCTGCAGAGCCACCTGCGGGGCCCCCCCACGATGGGAGCTGCAGGGCAGCCTGGCCCTGGTGACCTCCCCACTGGGGGGGGGGGCTGCAGCTGAGCCACCCCCAGGACTCCTGAGCCAGGGGATGTGTGGGGCAGCTGCTTCGTTTTGCCGGTGGATCAGGGGGGCTGCGCGGTCCTCTTTCCCACACTCCCATTCAAGTCCCGTGTGTCCGAAGACCCGGTGGGCAGGGGCTCGGGCCGTCCAAGCGGACATCCGCCTGCTCTTCGGGTGCCTGCGTGGCTCCCGCGGAAGGAGCTGACTCAGGCGAGCGGCTGTCATGGGTGGCAACACCCTTCGGCCTGAGGCCCCAGACAGGGACGCTCCTCAAAGCTCCGTGGAGCCGGGTAGGGGCAAAGTCCTTCAGATGAGACCTGATGCCACTGGGCCCATCAGGCCAACGGAGGGAGCCCCGGCTGTCTCCCTGGCCCGCCACCAGCCGGGCATGGTAGCCCCGTGCCTCCCCAGGGGGAATGGGTGGCACATGGCGGCCCCCACCGGCCCACAGGCTGCCGTGAGGCTCCACGATGCGGGCCGAAGAGGGCACAGTCCGGGATGGTGGCCGTTCTGGAGTCTGGCCTCCAGTGGGTTGTTCTCCAAAAGACTCTGCTGGGGATGGGGACACCCTTCCAGCGCTTGCAGTAGAGCGACGGACACGAAGGGCCCCGAGACGCGGCCCCGGCCCATTCGCACTCGGGCATCTCTGGCCCCGCCACTGCCCTTTCCTTTGAAGTAGGGGGCAGTGCAGGGGGCTGTTTGTCCGCCTCAGAGACGCCTCCAAAGGCAGACGGGAGTGGGGCGGGCTCGGGGGGGCTCCTTCTCTTGGTGCTTGGCGCCGGATCACGGGTCAGTCTCGCTCCCTCCACTGCTGCTCCCACGAGAAAAGGCCCCGGCGACAGTCCTGCTCAGAGGAGCCCCAGCACACCCGAGGCAGCGGGGGAAATCCTGCTCCCTCTTTCTATGCACCTGGTTTTGCCCTCGGCTCTTGGGGCCTTCCTTCCCCATTGGAAAGCAGGCCGCGAGCCCTTGGCCGCAGGACGGGGGAGGGTTTGGAAGCCAGAAACCAGGACGGAAGTGCCCGTGGCTTCGCTTGTGCTTCCATGACCGCGCGGTCTGCCTGGCCATCGTGTGCCGGGGAGGCGGGCCTGCTCGGGGCATCTCCATTCATTTCTTCTGCTCCTCCGCAGGGTACTTCCTGCAGGACTTCCTGGACATGGTGTGTCACCAGAAGCTCCGTCAATGCTGGGAACTGCTCTTCCATCACTCTGTGGTAAGCGCCGCCAGCCGCCCAAGGCAGAGGAAACACAGAAGCAGAGCGAGTTGGAAGGGGTCTCCAGGGCCATCTAGTCTGACCCCTGGCTCCAGCCAGCTGCGCTCATGACGTGCTTGCCAGGTGCATGTCCAGCCTGACCTTGAACGCCTCACCGGTGGAGCTGTGGAAGGGAGCCTTTGGGGTGCACATCTCCAGTGCCCCACAGTTGCTGCTGGGGGTAATCCTGACCCGGCGGGCCAGCAGTCCCCCAGGAGTGGGGCTGTGCGGCATCCCTTCTCCCTGCCCCTCGCTTGCGGGACGCTGCTTGGCCACCCTGTGCTCCCCTTGGGGAAGGCTCGCAGGAGTTTCTGCCCCCGGCAGCTGAGAGCATTGGGCACCACAGCCCCCTCTCTGGGGCGGGGGCCAAGCAAGCGCAGTGCCCGGGCAGGTGGCGCCTCCTCGGCGAGCGGCTAAGCCTGTCCAGGTGCTGCCTCCTCCTCTGGCTGCTTTCAGAGAGGGCTTTGCGGCTTACACAGAGCAGGCCTGATGCAGGCCTCTTCTGAGCCACTTGGCCGCGCTCCAAGAACAGCCTCCGGCACGAGCCCTGCCCCTCTGGGCTCGGCCCCCTCCCCAGTGGCCAGCTGAAGGCCTGCCCGGGGGGCAGTTACACAACACACGCCAGGTGGGTCACCCTGGCCCCCGGTGCTGGATGCCTGCCCGCGAGCAGGCGGGCTGCCTGGCCTCATCCCCTCCCACGTTCCAGGGGCAGCGGCCTGAAGGAGATCAAGCCTCCCTCCTCGTGGGTGGGGGCAGCAGGACCGCGAGGGGGCAACCCGTGGCACACACGCAGGGGCAGCGGCTGGGGAGAATGGGTGGCAGGAAGCTGCTGATCCCCCGTTAGAAGGAGCCAGTAAAGTGGCGATGAAAACAAGGGTGCCTCTATCCATGTGCAAATCACTGCCTCAGTGCTGAGGGTGGAGAGGCGGCTACCCCTACCAGCCCAGTGTGGATTGGGGGCAGTGCCCCAGCGATGGCCAAGCCCACCCCCCAGACAGGCCCCTCCCCAGGGAGTCCGGGCTTCCCCATTCCTGCCACGCCGGCTCTCCATCCCCTCCCAGGGATGGGTCAAAAGGCCACGGGGATAAGACATTAATCCAGGCAGGACAGAGTTTAATCCCGGGGCCAGCTAATCCCATTACTGTCTGGCCGACAGCCTGTGGAGCCGGCTGCCCCACGGCCCCTCCCCAGTGCCTCCCCCAGCCCCCCCTTAAGGGAGAAGGGCTCGGTGGGCCGCCCTCCTCCCTTCGGCCTTCTCAGCGCCAGTGCTGCTCCCCACAGGGACCCCAAGGAGCCCGCAAGCTGCAGGTCGCCGCTCGGCCCTGGCCCTTTCGTGGCCGCCGCCTCGGCTCCTGCTTCCGCTCCCAGGAGGAGAGGCGCCCCTCGTCCAGCGCCTGTGCCCTGCTTGCAGCTCTTAGAAAGCAACATAGGAAAACAGGTATCGCTTTAAATACCGGCTAAGTCTTGTCTGGAGCCGTTAAGAGCGCCCGCTTAGCCAGTCTCCTTGTGGATTCAACCGTTTCCCCGCATCCAGAAGCCTTCATTATACAAGAGCAGGGCCGAATCCGGGACAGGGCCTGCTGAAGGAAGAGAGAAGAGCCCACCAGGGGGAGGGCTGGCTGGCAGGTAGAAGGGGCAGGTCTCCAGGTGAGGCTCCGAGCCCCTTGGCTCCCTCCCTGCCCTCTCCGGTTCAGAGGACGAGAAGGGAGCCTCCCGCCTGAGCCGCTGCCCTGGCAGAAGGCTGGTGGCCCCGCTGCCCAGTAAGAGCAACCCCCCCCCCCGGTCTCCAGGTGATCGCCTGCTTCGGCTTTGCATTCCTGGTCCACCGATACGTGGGCTTCGCCATGGTGGCGCTGCTGGTGGAGATCAACTCTATTTTCCTGCACCTGCGAACGATCCTGCGGATGGCCGGCCTGGCGAACACCCCCTCCTACCGCCTCACCAGCCTCCTGAACCTGGGCACCTACGTGGTGTTCCGCATCATGACGCTGGCCTGGATGATGCGCTGGCTGCTGCTCAACCGCGAGAGCATCCCGCCCGGGTCCTATGCGCTGAGCATGCTGGGCATGGCCATCATGACCCCCATGAACGTGGTCCTTTTCTTCCGGCTGCTCCGCAGCGACCTGCTCGCATCCAGCTGGCATGAGAAGGAGACGTAGCGGCGCTGGGCTCGTCCGTGGGGCAGCTGCAGGCTCCGTGGGGCGAGTGGGGAGAGGCCGGGCAGAGGAGGGGCGCTCATGACCCTCCTTCTGGGCTGCAGCTGCCCTGGAGCACCCGTGGCTGGCGATGGAAAGGCAGTGGCTGCCTCAAGGCCGACTTTCCAGAGAACCTGGCAGCCCAGCAGCGCCTTCTGGGTGCTGGAACGACACCCAGAGCCGCCGAGGACGGCCCTGCAGAGGCTGGCGCAGAGGGGAGGCCCAGGGCTTGGGGCCCGGTGCGATGCCTCACCCCACGAAAGAGGCCCTGCTTGCGGCACGGGCTGCCACGGCTGGGGGCAGGGGAGCGTCCCAGTGGCAGGAGCACCCAGGCCAGCTGCCTCCCACTCTTCTGGGCTGGCCATGGCTGGACGGTGCCTTAGGTCCTGGGTGGGAAGGCTGGGGAGATCGTCATGGAGGGGCAGGGAGCCAGGATCCCACTCCCGCCCTGTGTGCTGCTGGCCTGTTCTCCCCCTTCCCCCCTCCCTCCCGGCCATGGAGCTGTCAAGGGGCAAAGGACACCTCCTGCACCTAGGCAGTGCCCGGCTGTGTTCAGAAGCAGCAGCACTGCCCACCGCCGTCCCGCTGGCTGTGCAGACTAGTCTGAGCCGTTCAACTCCAGTTCACAGCCTCACGGCTCTGACGCTGAGCGGCAGTACCCTAAATCCACTAGGATCCAAGCCGCTCCGAGGCCCGGCCAGGTCACCACAGCAGCACGAAGGGAAAATACGTGTGGAGAATTTCTCTGCTTTTGTAACGAAGTTGTGCTTACGCAAAGTAACTACATAAAAAGCCAAGTGAGTGCCCTGCTTGGAAGTGCTGTGGCAAAGAAGGCCTCTGCAGGGGAGATGGGAAGGGGGCTCTGCGATCTCGCAGGTGGGGCCGTATCCCCCTTCTCCTTCCAAACTCACGGGGTCAGCGTAGCACTGCATGACTTGGGCATACAAAATTCGGAAGTGAATGTGGTACGCAGCAATCAACGTACTTTTCTGCACAGACATGCCTGGGTCCCTGTGAAGCGGGTGCCAGGCCCCGGAGAAAACGCACCTCTACACAAAAGCGACGGTGTGGTAATATATGTATATATATTAATAAAGAATTGAACCAGACTTCACAAAAGTTGAGCTCCAAGAACTCTGTTGGGCTGCAGGTTAAATTTGGGTGCAGGGAAGATAAACGGGACTGATGAGGGGTCCCTCTGCATGCATAGCGTGGCCCTGGCTTTGAAAGAACATCAAGATGCTAGTCCTCTGGTTCTGAAGGGCAGGAAGCCAGATTGCAGCTGGACGCTGATTTTTAGAGCAGCAGAGCAACGGGACCAACGAGCCGGGGAGGCGGGGGCTCCCCGACACGGGAGGCATTCAAGAGGCAGCGGGGCAGCTCCGCGCCGGGGATGCTTGAACCTGCAGTCCTGCATCGAGCAGGGGGCGTTCGGGTGTGACTACATAACTCATTCACCAGAGGCAGTAGAACTCTTGTTGGGTGGCAGCTGCTGTCGTACCTCAAGGTGTGGGACTACAGCTCACATCATCCCTAGCCAGCGTGCCCTCCTGCGGGTGTTGGACTACACCTCCCGTAGACGCCGCTGGCGAAACCAACGAGCTGCTGCTAAGTCCTCCCAGGCTGCGCAGCGAGGCGGAAACCAATAACTTCCGGCCCGGAGGCACTGACTTCCGGCACCGCTTATTCGCTGCGAGCCGCGCCACTCCCGGGGCGCCGGCGCTGATTGGCTCAGGCGCCGCGGTCCCCGCCCTGCCGGCCACATCCGCTTCTGGCGTGCGAGGCTGCGACGTTCGCGCGGCGGCGGCGGCGGCGGCCATTAGCGGACTTGCGCGTTGCCGAGGCGGCGCTGCGAGCTCGGCCGGCGCGGAGCGAGCAGCGGGGCGGCCTCGCCCGGGGGGGAGCCGGGAGGTGAGCCGGGCGGGCGGGGCGGCGCTGGGTCTCCACCTCGTCGTTTCCGCCGCGGCGGAGCAGGAGCGGCGCCTTCGCTGTGCTCGCATCTGCCCATAGGATCGCGCGCCGGAGCGCGGGGCCGCCTGAGGGGAGGCGGCGCCGGCCAGACGCGGGGGCCGCTGCAGGGTTGCCTCGCGCGACGCGCGCGCGGGGGCTTAGGCGCGGCCTCGGAGGGGTCCAGCCCCCCGGTCCTGATCCGCACGTGCGCCTTTGTGCGGGGTGGGGGTGGCGGCGCAGTCGCCCCGCGCAGGAGCGGGAGGCCTCGCTTGCGTGGGCTCACCCGGCTTGGCCCGTGCGCTTCATTCGCAGCCTTGACGTCTCAGCATGGCAGCCGTCTTTCCCTTCCGCGGGCCCTGCCCTCCGATGCCCGCTCCCTTGGCTCCGTTGCCTGACTATATGTCTGAAGAGAAGCTGCAGGAGAAAGGTGCGGTGGGAGTGGCTGGGCGGGAATGGCAGGCCCTTGGGCCGTCCTTCCCCTGTTGCAGCTCCGGCTCCGGAGAGCTAGCGGGGGGGGGGGGTGAGAGAGGTGATCTACATGGGTGACCCTCTGTACCATTTCAGCCCGCAAGTGGCAGCAGCTGCAGGCCAAGCGCTATGCCGAGAAGAGGAAATTCGGCTTTGTGGATGCCCAGAAGGAGGACATGCCTCCTGAGCACGTGAGGAAAATAATTCGGGACCACGGGGACATGACCAACAGGAAGTTCCGTCATGACAAGCGGGTCTATTTGGGGTGAGAAGTAGAGCATGCAGTTTTGGGTAATCTGGAAAGTGTGGGGCAGGGGGTACCTGTGGTGTGTTGGGAAGCAGCCTGGTGTTTGTGAGGCCAGAAGGCCCTGATCGTTTTTCTGGTGGCCCTTGATGTCCGAGGGCTGCATGTGCTTGCCGGGACCAACACTGATTTTGCTACTTGACCAGCATCGCTGCCTGCCCTGTAGCTGCTGCGCCTTGCTGGGGTGTCTGGCCAGGCCTGCAGAATCCGTTGCTACAGGGTCCCCACTCTGCTCCAGGGCCCTGAAGTACATGCCGCACGCGGTCTTGAAGCTGCTGGAGAACATGCCGATGCCGTGGGAACAGATCCGCGACGTGCCTGTCCTGTACCACATCACTGGGGCCATCTCCTTTGTGAACGAGATCCCGTGGGTGATTGAGCCGGTGTACATCGCCCAGTGGGGGTAAGTGAGCTCTGGCAGATGCTGGAGCTGCTGTGGTGGTCCGTCCAAGGGGCCTCGGGTGGGCCTGGGTCTGACTCCCGCTGCGCTCGGCTCCAGGTCCATGTGGATCATGATGCGGCGGGAGAAGAGGGATCGGCGGCACTTCAAGCGCATGCGCTTCCCACCCTTCGATGACGAGGAGCCGCCCCTTGACTACGCCGACAACATCCTGGATGTGGAGCCCTTGGAGGCCATCCAGCTGGAGCTGGACCCCGAGGAGGATGCCCCTGTTCTGGACTGGTTCTACGACCACCAGCCTCTGAAAGACAACCGCAAGTGAGCGCAGCCACTCTACCCCCTCCACCCTTGGGCTCGCAGGCTGCGAGGGAGCTTGTGGGCGGCAGCCTGTTGGTGCCTGCGGAGGCCGCCCACCAAGACTCTCAGTCCGTGTGCCCTCCTCCGCTTTGCAGGTATGTTAACGGCTCCACCTACCAGCGCTGGCAGTTCACCCTGCCAATGATGTCCACGCTGTACCGCCTGGCCAACCAGCTGCTCACAGACCTCGTGGACGACAACTACTTCTACCTGTTCGACCTGAAGGCCTTCTTCACCTCCAAGGCTCTCAACATGGCCATCCCAGGGGGGCCCAAGTTTGAGCCGCTGGTCCGAGACATCAACTTGCAGTGAGTGCGGTGTGGTGGTCCCCAGGGCATGAGCAGGGGCTGGCGCTGCTCTTGGCAGGGCTGGGGCGAGCCAGGCCTCTCTGAGGGCTCCCGGGCTCCTTCTGTGGGTGCCTTTGAAGTCCGAGAGGGGCTGCATGAAAGCAGTGGTACCTCCCCCTTCTGCACCAGAAAATAAGTGCATCCCAAGGGCCAGTCCTGCCCCGCTTCCTTTGCCTTTGACTTCACGTGCCGCAGCCAGCGTGTGGGCAGACGTTGCGTGGCCTCCCTGCGCTGTGGCGTGTCTCCTGTGGGAGAAGGCACGAGGCGGGTGCTTCAAGGGTGCTCCCACCTGGGCCGTCCGCAGAGCCCCGTCCTGCCCCTTGGCTGATTGCCGCTTCCTTCCTCGGGTTTAAATAGGGACGAGGACTGGAACGAGTTCAACGACATCAATAAAATCATCATCCGGCAGCCCATCAGGACCGAGTACAAGATTGCCTTCCCCTACCTGTACAACAACCTGCCCCACCACGTCCACCTCACCTGGTGAGATCCTGGGGGGTCGGGGGGAGAAACGGGAGTGAGGGCCACTGGGATAGAGGTGAGGGGCGGGGGAGAGGAAACGCTGCTTGATGCCTGGTCCTCTCTGCAGGTATCACACCCCGAATGTGGTCTTCATCAAGACCGAGGATCCGGACCTGCCAGCCTTCTACTTCGATCCGCTCATCAATCCCATTTCGCACAGGCACTCTGTCAAGGTGGGACCATTTGCTGAAGGGCCCACGAATGCGTAGGCTTGCTTGCTCTTAGGAATCTTTGATTCTGTCCTTTGCTGCTTACGGCCTTCCAAGGCAACTCGGCCGTGAAATCTGAGAAAAAATGGCAGACGATGGATTTTGTGAGCATGTGGGTTGTCCTTTCTAAATTGCCCCCCCCCCCCCCCCCGCCCCGGCTGAGGAGGTCTTACTGGCAATGTGTGCTCCTTCCAGAGCCAGGAGCCGCTCCCGGATGACGACGAGGAGTTTGAGCTGCCGGAGTTCGTGGAGCCCTTCCTCAAGGACACGCCGCTGTACACAGACAACACTGCCAACGGCATCGCGCTGCTCTGGGCGCCGCGGCCCTTCAACCTGCGCTCGGGGCGCACCCGCCGGGCTCTCGACATCCCCCTCGTCAAGAACTGGTAACCGGCTGTGGTGGAGGGTGGGAGGCTGGGGGCGGGATGGAGTGCAGAGCCGGCGGAGCCCTGCTGGAGTTGGCCTGCACCCTTCTTGGCTCGTTTCTGCTCCTCACGGTGGTGGAAGGGCCCCTGCGCTGGGATGGGTGTTGGGACATCCGCGGGATCTCTGACAGCCACGCTGCTTCGCACCGAGCACCGGCACCCTCTTCTGAGTGCCGCCGGCACCCCCTTCTGAGTGCCGCCTGCCCTCACGAGTGCCGCTGCTGTCCCTCGGCTCCCAGGTACAGAGAGCACTGCCCCGCCGGGCAGCCGGTCAAGGTGCGGGTCTCCTACCAGAAGCTGCTCAAGTACTACGTCTTAAACGCTCTCAAGCACAGGCCCCCCAAGGCCCAGAAGAAGAGGTGAGACCCCTTCGGCGGGCCCAGGGCTTAGTGGGAGGGAGCCCCTGTGCGGCACGCAGAATGCCCCCCTTCAGGTCCTGGGTCTGCAGCTTAAAAGGGTCAGAAAGCAGGCGGTGGGGTTGGGGCAGGGAGGCCGCCCACTGTCCGGGAACCTGCAGGGGAGCAGCCAGTAGGGCCAAGCGGGACGGAGAGAGTCCTGCCAGGCAGCAGCTTCCACTCCCCCGGGCTCACCCGTGGCTGCCTTGCCTCCCGCCGTCGCCCCAGGTACCTCTTCCGCTCCTTCAAGGCCACCAAGTTCTTCCAGTCCACCAAGCTGGACTGGGTGGAGGTGGGCCTGCAGGTGTGCCGGCAGGGCTACAACATGCTGAACCTGCTCATACACCGCAAGAACCTCAATTACCTGCACCTGGACTACAACTTCAACCTGAAGCCCGTCAAGACCCTCACCACAAAGGTGCCTGCGCCCCCTCCCTCGGAGGGGCCCTGCCAACCCCAGGGTGTTGGTGCCTGGGTGGTGGGCGGACTGCCCCCGCCCCGCTGCTGCCCGTCGGCGGAGCACCGGGCTGGAAGGAAGGGAGGGAGGGGTGCCCCCTGCTTTGGGGAGCCTGGCTGCCCGCCTGGCTGTCCCCGCCCCACTTGCCTCCTGCCCATCGTCCCCTCCTCTGCTCCCTCCTCGCAGGAAAGGAAGAAGTCGCGCTTCGGCAACGCGTTCCACTTGTGCCGGGAGGTGCTGCGCCTGACCAAGCTGGTGGTGGACAGCCACGTCCAGTACCGGCTG